CAAGATGAACATGATTATTTGCTGGAGGGTAAAACAATAATTCTTCATCATTTAAATTAGAGTTATGTATTGCAAGTCACTCATTTAAATAACATGAATGTCATAAAGCACAGTACATGTGAGGTCAGAATAGTTCTGGGTGTGTGCACCATTACGTTACAGCTCATAAAGCCTATGTTTGTAGTTCAGAATTATTAAAAAGACATGTCTTAGGGGTCGTTCTCATGAAGAACTTCCTTCAGCACAAAAAAGTTTTTGCTAAGTACCAAAACTGCAGATGATATTTTAATTAGAACTCCCTGACTATTCCTAGTATGAGTGTAAAAAGGAGACTTGTGGAACGAGATTTATCTTGCGCAAACAGCGTTTGCATCTTTTGTTACAGAAATAGAACACACACCTTGATTTCCACAGGATGTCTCCAGCATCAAGATAAAATTACTCATATTAAGCATCAGGATGAAAGCAGAAGTAAAGAATATGAATCACTGCATTTGGTATTGGTTCTTGATATTCCTTTTAAGCCCCTTATAGATGCAACAGATCTTCCTGTTTCTTTTTTTCTTGATAGCTTGACTGATAGCCAAGATATAGAAAGAATCTTGCACTGCAACTTGACTAGGCCATGCCCAGTTCTAGTTTTGCTCCAAAGCAACAAAATAGATGCAATAAAAGGAAAATAGAACAATAGAGAATAGAAAATGTTATACCTAGATTAACAAAAAGAAAAAAAAAACCAAAAAGCTTTTAGAAACTTTTCATTAAAACTTTACACAATATGGAAATTAAGACAACCTGTCCCAAAAACACACTCTTCTGCAACACCAAATCAAATTGAACCATGGCTGAAAATACAGAGGATCTTTTGGAAAAGAACAACAGATAATCTTTCTGAGGCTGATATATAGGTTTATATAACACTGCATTCAGTTCTGGAGCATACATCTCACAAATGAATATGAAACACAGTCAAAAATAATTGATTGTAATTAAAAGAGAATGTGCGAATTCGAAAAGAAAAGAAACCAAAATCTCAGTCAGAAAAAAAGGTTCTTTTCCAGCAGAGGAGGAAGGAAGGCAACAGAAGAATCAGGGTAGCAGAGGCAACAGGAGGTTCAGAAGGTCATAGGAGAGGCAAGGTCTGTCAGACACGCTTGGAGTATGAAGGGAATGATGCACAACAGTAAACTGTTGGGGGAAAAGAGTAAAAGAATAAATTATAATTATTGTGTAGATCAGTCAGTAGAATGGCYAGCATGCTCAGTAACATCAGAGAGTCAGATGCCCAAAGGAGGTGYAGCTGCACAGGCAGACGTGTCCCAATATGGAATCCCACATATGCTCTAAMTCTCTGGGTTCATGTATACCCTAACTCAATCCTAACAGCACAAGACCTATGGATGAGCAGGACCTACTGATGTCTATGAATTCTGCTTTATGTGGCCTGAATTTTAATTCTCCAAAAGGTGCAAGATAGACAGCATTGGAGTTTTAACTTCAATCTTTATGTTCAGATTGGCTGGATGAGTAAGAATAGCGATGGCAACACAAGCCTCGTAAGCTGCACCTGCAGGTGTTTTTGCTTTAAAGAGCACCTCAGAAAGGAAAGGCTGGCTCATTTGACAGATGCCTTATGAAGCAGTGTGCCACGGCGAGCCACAAAACTCCCAGCACATAAGCCCTCAGTTCTCAATTGAGTTAGAGCCACAAGTAYGAGAAAGAAGTTTCCTCTGTGTTTCTACCCATTTTTGGTTCAAGCTAACAAAACACAACTCATAGAATCTAACCCTAACCGTGAAAAATGAGATATCTATCTAAGGAGACTGGAAAAATAYGACTGAGCTGTTTATTGTCTTTGTCAAATGCCTTGTATTGTCTGTTCATACATGAGTGATATAATGAAAAAAAATTAAAAATAGATATAAGGACATGGCTCTTTTCTGTTCTCCTGGTTACTTAAAATTAACCTGGTTTTATTCTTTTATTCATCAACTGGTAGTATGCATGTCATCTACATAAAATAACTGTACTGGGAAATGCTTGTACCTACGCCTTCACCCCTTGAAAGCCTTCTGATTAAATCATTGATCATTTTGATCTATAAAAACAAGGACAGGTTCAAATCATGATTCCATTTCTTCAAACACAGAGCACTTCCTGAAATTTACAAATCAATCAGTAGTCAAGCCCTTACCCAGTGTGAACCCTGAGTTGACTAGGACTTTATCCAGTGCCAGAGTGACAAATTTAATGTCAGGATCTCACTCTACAGGATGGTGACTTGTATGTTCTTTCTGACAGAGCTTCTAATTTTTTACAGTACATCTTAATGAGAGCTCATAGCAATCCAAACAAAGGGCTAATTGTGGAGTTTCACAGGAATTCTGAATTGACTCTAATGAGCTGGCTGACATTTGAAGGCAGCATGTTTCAGTCACTTTTCTAGGTGCAGCAGTCTTTCACCAGTAGCACACAGCTCACCATCAACTCACACATTGGGAACTTCAAAAGCAATGTGATATAACCAAACACCATGCAACAGAGGCAACAATCTCATCTCTGCATTCCCAAAGTAGAGCCAACCTTAGAATSACAGGCCATGAACAATCTGATTAGTAAGATAAGAGAAAAGATCCCATAAACACGTCATTTTAAACAAGCACACAACATGCAGCTAAGGTTCTGTTGGATCAAAAGCTAGAGGTAAGGTCAGGTAAGTAGAATAAAAAGATTAAAGAGCCAAAACCCTGAGGAACTGTTACATTCTTGCTTGTGGATGAGACTCGTACCATTTGATACAGAAGAGCTCGAGTATCTTACTAAATGTTGTATTCATGAATTACTTACACTCCACATGAGTGTGGAAAACTCAATGAAGAGCAATTGCCATCAGTCTCTGCAAAATGAAAATCTCTCAATGTTTGTTTCCCATGGCACAACGAGACAACTGTGTGTTTGCTGGGAAGGAAGGAAAGGGTGGGTGAAGGACAGTGCTTCACAGACAGTGGCAGATCATAAGGAGTCAGAATTTAAACTCCACATGATCACAGAATTTTCATTTCTAAATGGGAATTTTTTCTTGTGAAAGACTCTGCTGTTGACAGTCACCCACCCAGAAAAGGAAGACCACAATCCTCATCAGAGAAAGCTGTTTTGAGAGTGATTTCAGAACAAATATGAGTTTTATCATCAACTGGCATCAGCAGTTTATCCTCCTCCCCACGTTGTTCTATGAGAAAACACATTTACTGAGGTTAGAGTTAGCAAGATTGAAAATTTTGTTGTCCTTTGAATCTACCACCCAAATCTTATTTGCACTGCTTGAGGCATTCTCAGGCAATAAACGCTTCGTTGCAAAACGYTGTTCTTACACCTCAATCACCAAAGTATCTGAGCACCTCTGAGAATGGCATTAGGCAATTTAATTATGATCTGTCCTGCTGCTGCTGTCTCTCATGGCTTCATCCATACATGCTTCTCTTGTGTAAATCTACACACTTTTCTTTATCCACGGAGGACACAGTATAATTCCAGAGCTAAAACTTGTCCCTCTCCAACACTGATGGTTTAAGTCTAATGTAAGTACCCACTAAGCCCTTGCTCACAGTAAGTTGAGGATAATAAAAACTCATGTTATGCTTCTATGTACAAGCTTAATCAAATCCTTTTGGCTGAGATACTGTGTTTGTTTAAGAGCAAATGATCACACTTATTAAATCAGGGCTGCATTGATTAAAGGGTATTTGATCAGCAAYGTAGATCAGGAGAGCATTGCAAAATAACGTGATAGAAACTCAAATGAAGAAGAAATATTAATGCAAAGAATGCCACAATAGATTTTTAATGAAGAAAACATTGTAGGCAAGTTGATGGTATCTAGAACAAAAGGAAGATTTAAAGTATGATATGATTTCTGTGCATAAGTTGGTAAAGATCACTTAGGGTTAATTCTCAATAWAATTTAGGTTTTCTGTTAGTATGATCTCCTTATTTTCCTTCCCTAACTCAAATAAAACTTATCAATCTGTGTTTCCTCAGCACAGGTTTGAAAAATCTGCTTTAGATTTAGCTGGTAATCAACAGCAAACACRCCCACATTAATGTATTAGAGTAACTGCAAACTGCAGAGTACTTTTGGTACTGGAAACACAAGGTCMTGGAAAGAGTCCTTCTGTCAAATTAGGAGCTAATGGAGATAGTTCTCTATCCCATGGTTTGGAGACACCCTCCTAATCTTCAAAAGAAGTGTGTCCATGTGATGTCATAACGTGCAGAGCTTTGCTGCTTTTACCGGATCTACATGGGTGTGCAGGGCAAGCCCACGGGGAACATAATACAGGATCAAAGACTTGGATGGTGTACAAAGATTTAAAGGCAGTCAATGGATAAGCATGAAAAAGAAGCATGAAAACATGCTTTTCACAAGTACATGGGGATGTGGAAAATATTGTACTTCTTTGTCTGGTAACTGTTATGCCTCAAGGTGAAGAGCACACAAAGGACTACCCAGGGATGCCAAGAAAGATGTACCCATTAAGAGAGGGAGACCTTTAACATTATACAGCTCCTATTAATGGTTTAATTTTCCTAAGGGGGACACTCTAGTTTTCAACCTAGACTGACAGACCCACTGACTCTCAAAGGACCTTGTCTCTGGGGAGATAAAATATTGTTAGTACAGAAAAATAAACATGGCAAATTAATAAAAGACAACAGATCTTTTCTTTCAGTAGAACAAAGCAACAAAGCTTGATGGTTATTTCTAAATGCTTCTGTACAACGACCAGGTATCATGTGCAAAACTCTGTCCAAACAAGTGTCTTGTTTACTTTATATTAATTAGTTACACTGCATTGGACATTTTGAAAGACAACAGGCTGGAAGAAGGGGGAAAAACAGACACGGGTATCTAGAGAGCAGAGAGGAAAGTCTGGAAAAGCTACCCCTGAGAGTAATCATCGAAAGAATGGAAATGCAAATACATATATTTTCAAACGTACGTTTAGGTACCAGCTCTGTTGGTGCTGTAACATCTGCTTCTCTGTAACACACTGCTGGATCCGCAATGCCACTGCCAGGAGGAGGGTAAGGTGGGGGTGGGGGGATCTCTAACTGGGGGACACCACGAGTGGCGCCCCTGGGAGGCTTTTGTGGCACCTGGCGTCCATCACCTACAGGGGATCAATTGACTTGTTACTTCATTGCAAGATAATGATCGCTCTGCTCACTGTTATTTTTTGAAAACACCTTGATTTTCTCTCACCCACATCCAAAGCCTCTCTGGATCTAATWATGCTCTTATTTACATCCAAATAATTAATGGAGAAAGAAAAGGTGGGTCTTAAACCAACAGCAGTGGGACCAGGATTGATTGAGCCCAGCACATATATGTACATTACAGCTAACAGTCAAAATCACTGTTTTTGGCAGACAATAAGGACAAAAAAAACCAGTTGAATAAAATTAAAAAATTGAAAACAGCTGTGTAAGAAAATGTGGAAAAGGTGTTTAATTTTTATCTTCTGAAGTGTCAAACTGCCTTAATTTGTTGACCWCTTGGATACTTTATGAGACTATTTTCCTGACTCTTCTTGTGAGAAAGAGGAAGATGCCCTAGGTCAGTATTTTGAAGTAGGTATCTTACAGATTTTTGTGTTATTTTTTTGAGTTGTTTTTCTTCATTTTTACATTGTAGAGAAGCAGATGATCAAACACTGCTCAAAACAGTGTTTGAAGCTATCAAAAAATGCCCATTACTTTGGCTGGGGGTTTGTTTCAACACTATGTGCAGTAACTAAACAAATACATGAGTCTTTGCACAGTGCTCTGAGAACCACTGGCAATGTTAAAAAGCTGCTGCCAGTTTGTAGTGTACAAAACTCGAGTTACTGATATTTGGAAAGCCCTTGGAGGCTGAAAGTGCACTGAGGAACCACGACTTCTGCTCACTCTGCTGTCACACCCTGCCAGAAGCATGTGCTGTGGTCACTGCTSAAGATGGATGCTGGCAGAGACACATCTTTGGTCTGATCCATTCCTGCACTCTCGTGCTTTGCTGGTGCTGAGAAGGGAAGCAGCACCAAGGGGGAAGAAAAAGGATTTAACCATTATGATTTTCTACTTGGGAGTCACTGACTTCCAGAGGAATATCTTCCAGGGACACAATTTAATGCTGGCAAACGTGCAAGCCCTTTTTTGCTGCTTTGAGGAAATTTGGCACAATACTTTGGTGTCACAATAAATGTTTCAGTATCGAATACTACAGTGAATTTGCCAATTTAAAAACATTTTTGATAGGATCTTTTGCTTTGATTCACGTGGCTAACTTGAGAGCTACATAGATACCTTTAATGCTTTTTCCATCATGTGGCTGACTGTTTCTTGCAGCACGTTTTTCCCCTCACTAGAATCTTGCTTTTTTCACAGCTTTTCTCTCATGCTTTCAGAGCCATCTGTGCTTTCTCATTGTTTTCTTGCAAGAGCCCTGAAGAGAGGCTGTTTTACCAACCCTCCCTGGCTGCAACACTTTTTCTTGTTAATGAACACATTCATTCAAGAAAGTAGCAGAAAACGAAAAGCACTGAAGACAGGGCTACTGTGGGACGAGTTCTTTGTCAGTGTAAAATAATAAGGCTCCATTAAAGCAAACGATACTACAGAATCCGACAAGAGCAGAGTCTGGCCAGCAAGCACACAGTACTGAACAGACTAGAAGGAGCTCTGCTCTGCTATATCTCATCTGTAACAATTGAGCACTGATACAAAAAAAATCTGAACACTTATAAAAAGGTAAAGCAACAAATGTCATCAAAAAGTGACCAGTAGTAGGGCAAAGCGTGAGAAGCAGTACAGCGTGACATCTGTGGTGGTTAAAAGTAAGGCAATTTGCTGAAAACTCCTGTGTTATATGGCACAGCAATAACATTGCCCTYAGAGGGTTTAAATAAGAGATGTCARTGGAGTTGAATATGTCACATGATAATGGACTCCTGCTGCTACATAAATGCTGAGGCATTAAATGTGAAGCATTTACTGAAAATAAATGTTGGAACGAAGCCAAGAGGCTTCTTTCTAAACTGTGAGGCATTTGTAATGTAAGCAATTATGTATGACAGAATGTCATATCTGTATGTCTTAGGCATTTTATGAAACATGAGGTCAAAGGCATGAACTGAAGTGCACCGAGTGCATTATGGCACTTGAAGAATGATTCTCTTAATGTACTGAAAAACGAGCTCCAATATGTGGGGTCATTATCTCATATCTTTACCCATTATAAAATCACTTTGCTTGCTAAAAGCATAATCCTGGTGTCCTCACTTGGGCAAAGCTCTCACCAATCTGAATAAGCTACCAGGCAGRTTACAACAGAGGTCTGGGAGAACGTTCTTTAGTTTTCCTGTATGAGCAAATGTGGTATCACACTCAGCTGAAAGCTACCATTTCTGTTGCTGTCTCTAAGTATGTATGGCATTCCTTTGAGAGCATCAGTTCTTTTCTTCTACTGATTAGCTAAAGACTCAGCAGATATTMATTTACAATAAAAGTGAGGAAGAAATTTTAAAAAACCCACTGTGTATGGGCAGGCGATATCAAATTGTTGGAGGACTATATGAAAATCAAGTATCTTCAGGCTTTAGAAACATGAGGAGACTCTGAACCAATTTGACTGTACTTTGGTTCTAGCAGAACTTCATGGCTTTAGATGCATTCAGTATTGCCTGGCCTATCTCCATTTATTAGCATTTCCATTTACTGTTTCTGTATTTCCATTTAGTAGMAAACCAATCATGGCCTTCAAGGTGCAGAACAGGCCCAGGGCTAGTGCTTTTTGCATATAGTGCTTTTTGTACATAAAGTTTGTGCCAAATATTCAAGTCATTTGAGGAGTGTTATCTACCCTGTGGTACTCTGAATGGTGCCAATTAAAAAAAAAAAAAATAAAAAAGAGGTAATATCCAAACACTTACTTCCAGACTTTCATTCTGCATAGAAGTGTAGGTTCTTTTCCCCCATGTTATATAAGTTTCCAAACTCACAGCATAACAGAATTAAGGCAACTCCAAACAGYGAGCATTGAAAGCACATGAATAGGATTATTCAGGAGAAAAGAGCACCGCTCACCCATTGTGCTCTTCCTCTTCTCCTCCCTGTCTTCTGTCCTGTTTGGCATGGCGGGAGTGGGTGGAGCAGATGCAGCTGGTGGAAGAGGGGCACGCCTCTTCTTTTTCCTTAAATCATTCAGGGATGCTCCTTGTGATATCTAGCAAAGTTGAAAAAAACCCACAATAAAGGATCTATTTTGTTGATGTCATAAATTGTCAATAACAAAAAAAGAAATGTTTGCCACATGACCTAATTTCTCGGTCCAGTATATTTATAATGAACATCCATAGTGACAACAGGAGATTAAAGAAGTACAGTAATATTGCACTCAGACAAGGAAAGAGACAAGAAGACAGTGCAGATGAGTGTCACAGCAGAAATACCAGTCTGGTAGGCACTTAATGGTTTTAAAAAGAGTGAACCAGAGAGCCCAACACCCAGCAAAGCAGAGTATGACACTATGTGTGTTGTTAAGCTTGAGCCATAACATGATCTCCTCTTTCCACTGGTTTCTTCAAACCTTAAATCATGGTTAAATACTCCAATTTATATGTATAGTGAATAAACACTTTCTCATTTCTTTTATTTTCCACTCAAATTCTTCTCTAAGGACTTCTGAGGAAAGAATTGACAGTTTGCCTGCATGATGATATGGGATCATACATACTGTACTCTATTTATGCCTGCTGGACTTCACAGACTTCTGAAGATCTGTAACACCTTGGCTTGCAATAATTGCAACATGTTGGTTGATAGGCCAAGACTTCATTACTGTTTATGCTGCTTTTAAAAATATGAAAAATGTTGCTGCAAGTGACTTGGGTTTCACTGGGTTGCATAATATTCTCTGTAGCTTGTTGGAACTTAGATCTATTTCCTTTTTCCGGAAAAATAATAATAATAAAACCATGMAGGAAAATCTGTGGAATTTTTAGATTCGAAAGGTACTGGCAACATTAGTCAGTACCAGGCTTCGCTGAGGCAGAGTAATGGCAGCTGCCCACATATGACATGTTATAGGCATTCTTTCAAAAAAGTCTTTACTTCTTTAACTTAACTGCTCTGTCTGCTCTGTATCTAATTCACAGAACTGCTGGGTGGTTTTCTACTATTTCAAAGGCCTAATTATTATTACTATTATTATAACTATTATTATTAYTACTACTACTASTAGTAATAATAATAATAATWGCAACAATAGCAAAAATCACAAYTGTAATATTTCCTTTAATACAGRGGATTAATGCACCCTTAAAATACAGCTGTTGTGGGAGATTTCATTGAACAAATAGTAGCTTCAAACTGCTGAAARCTACCATCAGAGTTCAGAGGAAACACACTCATCTAAGGGTTTCCTTTCCTACGTTGAGTAAAAAAATCTGTGAATGAATTTTACAAGGATTAGGACATGAATAGAGTCTCCTTCACTTAGCCTTCCTTTTAAAAAGYACTCAGGAGCATCTTTCATTATAAAAAGGAACCCTTTTGCTCCCACTTTTCAGGATGATGCTTTAACTATCGTGCTACATGACAACGGCATTCTCTCCACCCCTTGGTAAACCTGCATCCTGCATGGGAGAAACTTGGCAGGAACTGCACTGGGTATAAAGCACAGTAACCAGGATGAGCTGCAGCTTCACACCAAACAAGAATGGGAAAGTAAGGTATACTGGTCCCACTTCATACTATCTAGGATTATTTCAGCATTTTGTATTACATTTCCACCAGATACAGTGAATGACTAAAGCCACTGGGGCCAATCTAGACAAAGTCAGGTGCAGCAGATGGGCAATAATGTTAATAGGAACTAGGGATTTTGTAGACTTAAATTTTGGTCACCAAAATTCAAGGAATTAAAAAAATACTGGATTTATACCCAGAAAAGAGCACCACATCAAATGTTCACGAATGGATATAGCAAAATTTTAGAGCTCCAGTGAAAAACTTTAGCCCAGTGTTATAGCCCGGCTCCATATAAATACGGGACACTCATCCTGACAAAGAAAGTGCCTGTAGTGATGAGGAACTGACCACAACCAACTGAAAGTGAAACACAATGCCCAACATGGAGCTGAATATGGAAAACTCTTGCCAGTGAAACAGACTCATCAGGCCTTGGTTTAAAGAGGAGTTACATGGAGGACAGCTACCTAATGCCACATCCTTCTCTATGAAGAAATTGTCAAATACACACTTTGGAAGAAAAAAAAATCCAGTTCGTCGGCACTGCATTTTAAATAACTAAAAAACATCTAAAAAACCATCAAGAAAATTATCAAAATGGGGGTTTTGATTACTACAAAGACTCAAAAATTCAGTAGCTACAGAGAACTCGAATCATCCAGGAGACAGTCAGCATCTGAACTTTCCGAACACTTCACATGTACAAGCTTGACTTTTGCAGTTGTTTAATAGCATTTTGCAGCTTCCACATTCACTCCCCCTTTACAGAAACAAAGGTCATTTTATTTTAGGACAAAAAARGGTTGGACTGGTGATTTAAAAGATAAAGCTAGGACGGGAAATGTGTCTTCCCTCTTGAAATGATAGAGATCACTAACCACCCTTCCCCAAGTACCAGACRAGTGAAGGATGATAGCTTGCTATAGTCAGATTCCTCAAAGACACGTAACTGCTTTTCTATGAAGAAAGGATCCTTGTCAGAAGTCAGCTTATCTTTTTCAGCTCTATGTATTTTTATTTAGTTGAATCTTCTGAGGGACATTAGACAGATGTATGGATGAACATGCTGCTCCAGTTAGAGAAGAGGCTAGGAAACAGCTAGTCCACGACTGCAATAATCCAAGTTTGGTGAAATACACACACAAAATGCTTTTATTACGCTGTCAGCTAAGTGCAGTATTCTTCACAAACACCATAAAGAAGATGAAAAGCTTGTTTAAAGCCAGTCACGCTACAATGTATATAAGAAGAGTCTAGTCCAAGCACAGGTCATAAAAATTGTTAAAAGTGGCTTTTCTTTAATCCCAATTTCAGTAAACCTATGAGGCTAAACATAAATGAAAAAAGCACAAAGAACATTCTGTTYCTTTCTTCCAATTGTATATACAAAACCAATAGAACTTGAAAATAATTTGTTATGGCTGGCTGCTTCTTTTCTAAAGAAATCAAGCCTTAACAACATTATTTGGAGTAATTTCCCATTGAAACTTTCTTACAGGAGCCCCTCTCTGCGTCTAACAGTTTATTTCCTAGTCTTAGCACTTGTGCTTTACCCATATTTAACAATAAAGTATTAGGTCAGCTCCTGTTACAGCATATAAATAATTTTAAAAGATGTTCATTAAGTGTTCTCTGACTATAATTAATACTATGAACTGTGTTAGAAATGAATAAAGGAGGTCAAAAGGACCTAAGTCTGAAAAACAGTGTAATTTCCCTTCCCATATTGATAAGACCACATACAATGAAAAAAATTCCATTGCATTCATGGCTCACATGCTCTTTGAAAAATACTTCCAATATTGCATACAAAGTACCTGAGCAATGTGCTGAATGTGTTTTCCTTCTGTGAAAGCTCAACATACTTATCAAAATTTGAGGGTTCTAGATAAGATTTTAGTATATATTTAGAGCATAACAACCACAACATGGGGAGTTATTTGTCAAAATTGCGTAGAAAACAATTTTACAAGKCCAATGCTTGAAATTTTCAATCAGTAGCATATCACAGTCACCTTACTTGCAAACAATCTGTGGCTACTGTAAGAGCAGATACGTAAATTGAGTTTAAATTTCCTCATGTGTAAGAGTCTAGTATTTTCTTTGGGTCAGGTTGCACTGAATATGAAGTAATGAAAAATATTAAAGGAGGCCCAAGGAAACAAAAATCACCACTAATGAAAATTCATCAAGCATTCAAAGACAAGGARGTTGTCAGATAAATTTCTAATGCAAGCTCCACTCCTTTGCCTTGCCTGTCCTCTGCTTACAGGCCAGGCACTGGTTTTGTATTTATCAGCCCTTTCCTTTTAAACTTTCTAACAGAAATRTTTAGTTATACAAGTACTAAGTCATCTGGCAAATTCCAACTTTTTTGTATCCACAGACCCAACTAGGMTCAAATTCTCTGCAGGTTTGCTGCTCCCAAAACTGAGCCTCCTTCTGTAAACCAGAAACTACCATTAATTTGCATAGTTTGTGTTTCAAAATCCAAACCAGTCTTTCCACTATTTTTATAAATATTACAAGAAACATTTGTCTTATGGCAACAGATTTTTCCTTTTACTCTCACGCCTATCATTTTGCCATTGAAAAGGAAAAATCTTGAAAACTTAAGAATTTTCCAGTCTCAATATTTGACACAATTCTCCTGAAAGTGATTTTTTTTCCTGCTCAAACAACATAGCCACAGATGATACAAATATATCAACAACAGAATCACGTCTGGATTAAGGTTTGCTTTTAAGGGATGTTGCATGATTATTAAGCATATGCAAATAAAAAAATTGTATAGCACATGATATTAACTATGTGAAGAAAGCCCTTATACTCTCTTGTTTCTTTCTCCTTTTTATGCAGTCAGGACCTTTCATTGTTTTAGAGAAATTGGCTAATTTTTATTTGAATTGTCTTATTCATGGAAACAGTGAATAACTGTAGAAATTATTTTTAGAAGTAAATAAAAAGGATTGGAAAAAGAGCACATGGATTCAATCACTGGCATGCCCTCATTACAAACTGGTTTCCATCATCCCACACTGACTAGACAAACTGATTTAAGTGAGCCAGATTCTGACACACCTGCTGGTGACGATATYATGTGGGGTCATAATGCCTATTCAATTACAAAAATGCTTAAATGCAATCAAAAGAGAAAAGAAAACAGAGCTRACCTGTAACTGAAAAAACAGCAGTATCATTCCAAACTATGTGTGGGACCATCCCAAACCTCTTCATCTCGCAAAGAATTTTAAGAAATCTGGAAATACTTAAGAGCCATTTTACAAGAGGTTATAAAAGAGAAAATACACATGTTTTATTAATCGGCTTTAAACTCTTGATAAAACCATAGCTGCACTAATCCTTTACAATATTCTATGAAAGACAAGCRGTAGATTGGTATGTAAGTAAGATTTATGGGTTTAGATTTAAAGATATTTTCCCGTGACATAATTTAAAGCAGTTGAGAAGAAA